CTGCGTGAAATGTCACCAACGGAAGCCAATTCCATGCAGGCGCTGCTGGACTATACAGGCGATGACTTTAAGGAAACCTTTGATTTGACCTTTGAAATATCACGTGACATCTATGGCGAAGCAGAGACTCAGGAGCTCAAACCCAATGGAAGGAACATTGCTGTCACACTGGAAAACAGGTTTTGTTGCATTACATTTATTCCTTTTCTATTGTTAATCATTTTAGCTTTTCAGGCAAGAGTTTGTAAATCTCTATGTTGATTTCATATTCAACAAATCCGTGGAGCTTCACTATCGTGCATTTCACGAGGGCTTTATGAAAGTTTGTTCAGGCCGAGTGCTCCAAATCTTTCAACCTGAAGAACTGATGGCTGTTGTAGTGGGAAACGAGGAATATGATTGGCAGGCACTGGAAGACAATTGCGAGTACAAGGAGGGCTATACGTCCGGCGATGAAACGGTAATTCTTTGGGTCAAGAAAATATCGTGTAATTAAGGCAATTTGCTTGTTTTTAGGTGAAGTGGTTTTGGGAAGTGTTTCACGAGCTACCCGAGGAAGAAAAGAAAAAGTTTCTGCTCTACTTGACAGGCAGTGATCGTATTCCTATACAGGGCATGAAAGCCATCAAGGTAAAGAGACTGTGAATCCATTTATAATTCATTATAACTGATTTATGGTAACCTTATCGGTTAGATCGCCATGCAACCCACACCTGATGAACGCTTCCTGCCCGTTGCCCATACATGCTTCAACTTGCTGGATCTGCCACGATATAAGACCAAGGAACGGCTCAAGTATAAGCTGCAACAAGCTATACAACAAACTCAGGGGTTTAGTCTGATCTAATCATTTTATCATAGCGTCATTGAGTGCAGAATTTTTTTTCGTATTGTCTAAAACACATTTGCATTTGCCTTGGATTATAAGTAAAACAAAAACGAATAGCAAACCAATATTAAACCACTTCTTTTTCAGAGATATAATCATCTGGAATATTATTGTGTTGTTTAGATTTATAGAACGATTTTAGTATATTGTTATAAATAAATAAATAAATTTGGTGAATTAAGATGCAAAGTAAATAAAGTGCTCCAAACATAATTATTTTTTATTTTCAATTAAATACATATTTAAATTGAACGCGCTTTGTGGTGATTGGTGCTATATCCCTGGAGCTCCTTGGTTTGATCACTTCGATAGTCGGAGTTGCCGCCTACAATAAAAATGCCCACAAGTCGATAGGCGATAAACGATAAGCTTTTCAAAACGCGCACATCACTAGTGCTCACAGAAGTTGTTGTTGTTGGCTGTGCGAAATGTGGCGGCAAATGAACAGCCGCAGCTCAGTTAGGTTTTAACTTTTGCAAGGTGCGCTTGCCGTACTCGGGGCTTTACTGCTAATAAGATATAAATTATTCAAGAACGTTTTTTTGGCTGTATGTCATTTGAAATTCTGAGCGCGTGCCAAAGCTAAACAAAAAGATATAACAAGTGTCGCGGCCATAGAAGCAACAAGTGTCTATTCGATTGTTTTATAATTTTTTTGGAACGTTGCGCAGTCGCTGCTGCTTCTGCTGCCGCTGCTACTGGTGTTGCTGACAGCAGCGGGTCAAGCTAACGGTAACCGATCGAAAAAGAAATTCAAACAACAACTGCACCAGACAGTGAGTGAAATTATGTACTTGCTTTCATTTATTGAACGTGCCTACATTTATATATTGAGTGGCCAACTTCTTATCGCCACCGTCTGTCGCAGCTAATTGGCCATTACGGATGTGCGGGCCCCATTCAATGATTGAGAGCCGCATCCAACTAATCAGCTCTGCAGTTTTTGCATACTCAACTGTCGTTTTCCTATCCACAATGTAACAAATGTGCTGCAAGCTGTGAAGACGACACCAAACACACAGACAAAAACAAAAAAAAAATAATGAAAAAAAATTGATCGAGTCAAAAAGCGGTTCTGCCGGTTTGCCCAGGTCGCGATCTGTGTTTCAGTCTATCTTGCTGGCAGCAAGACTTTCTTTCCTTTTGCACAATTTGAACTTGGACACCAGCGACAAGAGGCACAAATCTGGTTTATGTTTATATGCGTCTAATAAAGCGCCATTTACGACCATGTGCTGCAGGCAGCTCTTCTCGATGTGCTCGTTGGTGGTTGCTTCATCAGCTTAACCTCGCAGGCGCAAGCAATTTACCGTTTGCTTTTTAGGCGAGTGTTTCGCTTCCTGGACACTTCCTTTAGCCCACACAAACACACACACACGCGCGCACGCACGTACTCTTCTCTTTCGCTCTGCCTGCTTGTCTTTCCTGTTGCTCCTCTGCTCTTGCAGCTGGGCTTAGTTGAATATTGTTTGCTTAGTTTTTACAGCAGGAACAAATACTAACAAAGCAGGTCAACTTTGTTAGACATCAACATGTATCTATATGAGTGTATATATGCATATATCGAGCAAGTCATGTATTTCCAGATAAATCGACACCAAACCCACAGTTTTTTTTCTTAAGTCTGACATGCATCTGAATGTTATTACGCCTGTGTTTGTGTCCCACCCTCTTCTCCGCCTTCTTATCAATGCCCTATAAATATAATTGTATCAGATTTCATTTCAATTTCAATTTCAATGGCGTCTATTGATTTGACCCATTTTCGATTTCAGCTTTTTCAATTGTGTCTTGTGGCAATCAGACGTTAAGCAGCTTAGCTTCACTTAACTGCGATCGTCTAGTTAGCTGCGTATTTCCCCCTCTTTGTTGTGTGTGTGTGTGTTTTTTTTTTTCTTTTTTGGCCAAATACAGTTGTGTATATAATAGACTCCCTTGTGGCTCCATGGAGCGTTACGTTCAATGTCAGCGAGCGAAACACACAGAAGCCAAACCAAGTTTTTGGCCAGCTCTTCTAATGGAAATGATGTAATTCTCTTGCATAGAAATCTGAACAATGAGCGAGGTCCAAATCAAATAAGAAAAGCCAAAGAAACCAACAAAGGCTCCAAAAGAAGGGAAATAAACAAAACGAATTGCACGCATTTTAGTTTGGTTAATTGCGATAATTCCACCAAGAGACGTTAACAATTAACGAACTTTGTCATGTGCACCACTGCCTCATCTACGTGTGCGGGCGTGTGGGTGTGGCAGGTTGCCTTCTTTGATTTATCAGTAGTTGATTTGTCTTTCAAATTACCAAATTTTTTTGTTTTATGGCCAAAAAGTAAGTTAAGCGTTTATTTATCGGAACAACGCAACGTTGTCTATTGACTAAAAAGTTTATTGATAGCGTGGAGTGCCTGGAGGCGCATACAGGGTGCTTTAGTAATTGTACAGGGTGATTGGTAAACTGTTAAGAGAAATTGGGAATTACTTATGGGTGCATAAAGTCTGAATGTTTTTGATGATTTTCCATTTAGACTAACAGAGAGCACTGCAAGCATTACATCATCTAGTAAAAGTTCTTTTTCTTTTAAAAACCACAATGCATTCCCTTCACATTCCTTTTAGATTAACTCTTCAGCATACTCTTAACTCGTAATATCTTTCCATTTAATTTATAAATGTAATTTCAATTTATCAACTTCTATACACAGTGAATGTACTTGAAATATTTCATTCAATACTCCGCGCTGGTTCTTCTATAGCAACTGAGTATGCTTTTTGCAGAATTCTACCATTCTGCCATTCTTTGCTTAATCCAAGCACTTGAAAAATTGCATTTTATGGGCTCGAGTTTCCTTTTATTCGCACCGAGCAAACACATCCGATAAGATATTGCATGTGGCCTGTGTGTCCACATAATGAGTCAGCCCCTAAGCTCTGCCAGCCAGATACGAAACGAACGTGTTCGTGATCGAGGTCAGCGCGACATATGTTATACCCTCTAAACATAAATAAAACATATTTGCAATAGAAACGTGTCTTGCTACGCTCCTCAGCTTATCTGTTTGATGGCTTAATGAAAACTGAGAGTGAGATTCGTGGCTGAGATAATAAACTTAAAAAAAAGATTACTTCAGATGACAACATATCTTACATATTAGGTAGTGTATTTTAATATCAACTTAATATGCTCTAAAATAGTCCTCAGGCAAATTTGATTCAAAAAATTTATAGAACTCTAGTTCAGTTAGTTATTCCGAGGAAAAAACCATAACAGTTATCATAAAATTAGATTGGCCCGTCAATTTATACCACGTACAGCACAGCACAGCTGTAAAGCTTTTCCCAACCATATATTATATTTTTTTCGACACCTTAAACTGAAGAACTTGCGCTCCATTGTCGAAACGGCGATCGGTCGAAAGAGAACGTGTTTAAGATTACCGAATCGGTTCAAGCAAAGTGTCAACTAAGGCGTTTTTTCGTGGAAGAAACAGAGAAAGAAGAAGCCAACGAGTACTGCAATTCGTGTAGACTCGAAAAAAGTCTGGTTTCTTTCTTCAGTTTTTTTGTGGGCCATTAAAATAAGAGGTAAATGCGAAGTTTTTGTTCGTTATATTTCTTAAACAGCTTTTTTTTTTGCATTTGAAATTGCGTTCAACATCAGTCACCAAATAACTTGCAAAATATGTTTGAATCAATTGTTGTTGTTTTTGTTGTTGTTGTTGTCGCCGCTGATCCAAAAAGTTACTATGCGTCAGTGGACAATGCTGTGAGTCAGCATGTCGAGATTGTATCCCAAGTTTTTTGTTTGCTTTTCGTTTTCATATATTCATCGAATCGAACGAAGGCGTTTCAGGCGGCTTTTTTTTACTCAACATTTGAGGAGTTAACGATCATTAAGAGCGAAGCGATTCAACGGTCGCCAAGTGGGGGCCATTGACGCGATTTGCCGCTGGCATAACTCACACAGTACCGGCTGGATATGTTATGTTATCATACTTATTTCTCGAGATTGTAACTCTCGATGTTTGTTTTGCTTTTATTGTGAATTTGCATACTCTCACATTTCTGTTGATCTTGCGATCTTCAATTACTGGAATATTATTAAGCAAAAGCTCAGTTTGAATGATTCGAAAATGTTCTTTTATTTAGTGAGTGAGTTTCAATTCATAGTCAAGGTTTAAACGCGAGCCAGATTGAGCAGCTGGTAGAGGGGCAAGACATTGCCATTTGACTTGCTCGTGGAGGCCAAGACGCGTGCCTGATAGCTGGCGGGAACGGACCGCTGGACGACTTCTTGCTGAGCTTGGGATTCCTCGGGCTCTTCGTTTTCAGAGTTGCGATACCATGGATAACCAGGGTAACCAGGGTAAGCAGGATGGATCGGGTAGCCGGGATAGCTGGGATAGCCGTGATAGCTGGGATAGCCGGGATAAACAAGATAGTTAGGATAGCGCGGGACGCCGGGATAGCCGGGATAGCCAGGATAGCCGGGATAGCCAGGATAGCCAGAAGCAGGTGGACCAGGATAGCCGGGAACGCCAGGGACACTGGGATGGCCAGGAACGCCGGGAGTACCAGGAACGCCAGGACTGCCAGGAACGCCGGGAGTGCCAGGATAACCATAGGGATAGCCATAGGGCCATTGACTATACGGCGGCACCCAGGGGCGCTGCGGAGGCGGATGAGTATGATAACTACCCCAAACATAACCTTGTGGACCGTTCTGGCGAGGATGCTGGCTGTCCTCTGAAGTATAATAGTAATTGTGTTGATGTTGTACTGTCGGTTTGGCTGTAGTCTTCGAGATGGAGCCTAAAAACTTTCCAAAGCCAGCCTTACCGATGGATGTTAATTGTTGCTCATCGATGTTGCGAGTCGTCCCGACGGAGTCCTCCACATTGCCACTGCCGCTGCCACTGCCACTGAGTACCTGCTGCGGTTGCTTTAGATGCGGCTGCGCTTGGGGCGACTTCTCCTGGAAGGTGAACGCGCTGCCCAGCAACGAGAAGAGCACTGCAAATAGAAGACTTTCATTCGAGATCAACCTGCCAGTAGTTCCTGATACTCACCTATCCAGAGTATTGATGATGCTCGGTGTTCCATGATCACTCAGGGAATATGACTTGGATGCAACGGCTGCACCTTTATATACCCAGCCCGAGCAGCTGCAAAGTGCATCTTTTATGGGTTTTCTATGCTAACGGTTTTCTCATTAGAATATTTAATGCATTTATTTCCCAAATCAAAGCAGAGACCCCAATTTAAGCTGCCCACCTTTTGCTTTCTCTCTGTCCACTTCTATTCTTAGTTACCTGATCTGGACCGTTCTCTAGTTGATGTGGCCAATAAGATCAGACTCTAATTTGCATATGAATTAAGAATTTTGGTGTCTTCTGTCAAACTTGAAACTGAATGCACTCAAGTGATCGCCGCTGAGCGATCAGACGCTGCTCTCGTATAGTTCAGCGGAGTTCAATAGCCCATTCGGCATACAAATTACGTCATTTGTTGAGTCTCGCTTTTGCTGGAGACTCTGTAGAGTTGAGTTTCTTTTTATGTTGTACCTTAAACCCAGTGAATAAGTGTGTAAAGGGTATGAGATTTTTGGGAAAATACTTCCAAAAGGCAAGTTTATACAGGAGTATCTGTCTCTCCGATCATCGATCGCATAAGCTCCAAAAAAGAGAAATTCAACTGGAGCTCTCTATAAGGTTGGGTATCTAGCTAGTCGGTCACGCCTGGCTAGAGCCATTTGACTTGTTTTAGTTTTATAGCCAGTTTATAATTGACCCTTGTGCCCGCTGGCGAGTTTTCCCACTGGGGTCAATATCAGATTAATGGCTCACAAACCAGTTCAGAACTCTTTCGTCTACATGATTTGCGTAAGGAATTTTGGGTGTACATAAAGCCAGCACCAAAAATATAAAGAAGAAACTACCCAAGCAAGTGTCGTTGACATCAAGAATGTTCTTAAAGCAAAAGTGCGGCATAACTTCAGGCAGCAATATAATTTCACTCAAATGGAAATCGATAAGAGCTAAGAGTGGATGGGGGATTGCCAGAGAAATCAGGAGAGTAAGCTGGGGCAGATAAGAAAACGAATTATTTGAAGGTGTCGTTAGGCTCCGAGAAATGTTTTTTCTAAACAATATTGGAATGATAGTCACATGACTTGCAAGAACTATATCGTTTCAAAGAGTCATAAATTGACAACAAATTCAACGACCGGGTTGCGATTCGATTTGGCTCAGTTCGTAAACTTGCATATGCTTGAATTACTCTATAAGTCTATATGCTCTTTATCATGCCCGAACTACTCTATTATTTCTTTAATGCATTTCAGTTGCTAGCATATCACAGAACTCAGCCAATAACGTGCACTTAACCAAATATGTGACAAATATATCAAATATTATTGCTTCAGTTGCGCTTGGATATGGCTATGAAACATGTATATACATACATATAAATTTGTATGTACTTATGTGCACATATCAAAGCCATTGTGTAATTAGCTAAACATGCATTGGCCTGGAGCTGGCAAGTGCAAATAGCTCCAGCGAAACAAAGGCCGCATTGAACCAATCGATTGTAGTACAAACTGTGCACTCAATGACTGATAAGAGCGTTAAATGGACCAAATGTCGCGCTGCAGTTTCACTGATGGCGCCTACGGCTATCGAACTAATTACTTAATGTGCAGCTCAGACATTTGCAATACAGTTTTCCAGTGTTTGCGAGGCACTCGCAACGTGATCACCCTAAGGCGTTCGCAGTATTTAAATATTTTTGTCAGCTATTGAGTTTGCTTTGATTAGAAGTGTGTTTTACTCTGAGTCATTGGCTCGCGACTCTCATGCCTAACTCTATAAAGATCGCTGATCAAGCAATAGCTAAGATTCGATATATATATTATTTTTAAGTCGAACTGATTCCCACTCTACTGTAGATCGTCTACGATCCCAGAAACTCTACATAGATTGTCAGAGATCAGAGTGAAGCTATCGCAGTCTCGGAATCTGTATAAATCTGATCTTTTTGATTAGAGCTCATCTGTTTGATTCGAAGTCTACTGTAGATCGTTACGATCTCAGCGGTTGTTATCTGTTGAAATCTAAATCGTCAGCATTTGATTTCGATTAGACTCATCATCAAAACTGATTTCGAGTTTATACCATGCGATCTTTGTTTGCTCATAGATCACTAAGAATTAAAATCTATATTATCTTTAGCCTTTTTGATTAGAGCTTATAATTGTGTCTCATGCTGTGTTTACAAAGTGAGATTTTCACAGTTAACACTGCGTTGATTTTAGCATATTTTATCAGCCGCGGCTGAGTTTGTTTTGCACTCACCATTGTGTCATATACTGACTCATCTTCACCCGCAACTCTCCACAGATTTTCTATATATATATATATATATATATATCCACAAGTATATATATAATTATATGTGAATTGCTCAAAAGAGCTTGGCAAAAGGCAAACGCACTATCTAATCGCGGCTGATTGGGCCATTGCGGCTCTTGGGAAGTGCTCTCCGTGTAGCTAAATCGTTGATAACTGGCAAACAAGCTGCTCCGACGGCGCCGACTACGATGGCAATTGAATATTGATGGTTAAAACTCTATTGCCAACGGCGGATTGTGTTAGTTTGCCAGCGCAGTCGTTGATGTGCGGAATATGTGCTGAGTGCTGAGAGTAAAGAGTGTCTAATCGGTTCATAAGGATACAGAACAACCCAACACAATGGCCAGGTACAACAATTGTGACTTATCTAGGCCAATAATTGGCGCTGTTGTTCGTGTGTTCGTGTTTATCTATTAAGAACCCACTCCAAGTGCAGCTCATCATTGTGTCAATTCGCGAATTTAAAGTGCTTACATCATGCTATCAATATCGGGCCAATCGCTTAATAATTTCCGTTAAGGGGTATACATAATTCGACAATGGAATCGAAATGAGAGCAAATAGAACCATTGCGTAATCGACGCTCTTAGATTCGTTGGCAGCCGCAAGACCAAATAAACTCTAGACCCAATAACCCAGTGATATGATATACGACGTTGATAAGAGCAGAATGCGAATTGCACCTAGTCTACTTCAGCTCTATAAATACAATTATGGCTATAAATGCTGTCCACTCAATGAACAATATATCTAAAAATATCTATCTATATTATATTTTATTTTTTATATATTCCGATGTAATATTTGTGTGAAATAGTATTAGCTTAGTTTTCCTTATTGCCTGAGGAGCCATAAATTCTTTACACAAGAAATCTTATCAATTAGCCATTGATTGTGTTCTTTTATAATCGCACCCTACTAAAAACCAGGTGATTAAATAGACCTCAAGTCGCTTGGCTAGAAACCGTTTTTTACGTGTGCCTAATACAAAGGCACTTAAAAATGTTTCCCAGAAATTTACATACAACACTTAAGCGATCTCAGATTTTGGTATAATCTTAACTAATCTTGATCTTAACTTTTTCAACTTCTAGCAATAAACCATTACCCAACATGGAGACGGGTTTGCACGAACGCGATCGTGCGGGCGTTCAGGACTTTGTGCTGCTCGAGAACTATGAGAGCGAGGCTGCATTTATTGATAATCTGAAGAAGCGTTTCCAAGAGAACCTCATCTATGTAAGTTTTACGTATGCGATGTCATTTCTTGCCCCCTCTCTCTTTCTTTCTCTCTGTCACATAATTTCTCTATAATCTCTATATCTATCTGCATTTCTATTTCGTAACTCTTACCACGCATCCTCTAAAATATTGAACTCAATATTTAGACCGGATGCTGGATCTGTGTAAGAAATTTCAAATGTTAATGTTGTCCATCAAGTTCCCGAGTTTTTTTTTACTAAACATTTCGTATTTCTTTACAGACCTACATTGGCCAGGTACTGATCTCTGTGAATCCCTACAAGCAGCTGCCCATCTACTCAGAGGCCCACATCAAGGAGTACAGGAATAAGCACTTCTATGAGATGCCACCCCACATGTAAGTGGCAAATGCTAACCGGGACTAGACTATCAGATTTAATCCCTATATAATCTCTAGCTTCGCTGTGACGGACAACGCTTTTCGCTCACTGATCGAGGAGAATCGCGGCCAGTGCGTGCTCATCTCGGGCGAGAGTGGCTCCGGTAAGACGGAGGCCTCCAAGAAGGTGCTGCAGTACATTGCCGCCTGCTCTGGCCATCAGAGCACGGTGGAGGGCGTCAAGGATAAGCTGCTGAAGAGCAATCCTGTGCTGGAGGCCTTTGGCAATGCCAAGACGAACCGCAACGACAACTCCTCCCGCTTCGGCAAATACATGGACATTCAGTTCGACTACAAAGGCACGCCCATTGGCGGCAACATCCTCAACTATTTGCTGGAGAAGTCGCGCGTGGTGGCCCAAACTCCCGGAGAGCGTAACTTCCACATCTTCTATCAGCTGCTGGCGGGCGCAGATGCCACACTGCTGCAGGAGCTCCACCTGGAGCGCACGCTGGAGAGCTACAACTATCTGACCGATGGCGTAAGCTAGCAAGCAATCACAGCTTAAAGAGCTTTCCTCTAATTGTCTCTATCTCATCAGGTCAAGGGCAGCGTGAAGAGCATCGATGATGTGGACAACTTCAAGCAGGTGCAGCAGGCATTGAGCGTGATTGATTTCAGTGCGGATGAGCAGCGCGAGATCTTTGCCATTGTGGCGAGCATATTGCACCTGGGCAACATTGGCTTCAACGAGGTGGAGGGCAATGCCCAGGTGAACAGTCGCGATCTGGTTGTCACTGTCTCCCGTCTGCTCGGCGTCAATGCCAGCGAATTGGGCGCCGCCCTGACACATCGCACCATTGATGCACGAGGCGATGTGGTTACCTCGCCGTTGAATCAGGAGCTGGCCATCTATGCCAGAGATGCGTTGGCTAAAGCCGTCTACGATCGCCTCTTCTCCTGGCTGGTGCAGCGCCTCAACATTTCGCTGCAGGCGAAGGAAACGCGCGGAGCCCGCAACAATGTCATGGGCATTTTGGATATCTATGGCTTTGAGATCTTCAAGACGAACAACTTTGAGCAGTTCTGCATCAACTTCTGCAATGAGAAGCTGCAGCAGCTATTCATTGAGTTGACTCTCAAATCGGAGCAGGATGAGTACAGGAGGGAGGGCATCGAGTGGATACCAGTGGAGTATTTCGACAACAAGGTTATTTGCAACCTGATTGAGGAGAAGCATAAGGGTATTATTTCCATACTGGATGAGGAGTGCCTGCGGCCGGGAGAGCCTACCGATCGAACCTTCCTCGACAAGCTCACCCAGAAGCTGGCGGAGCATCGTCATTACGTGTGCCACGAGAAGGCACCGATTCATGTGCAAAAGATCATGGGACGCGACGAGTTCCGGCTAGTGCACTACGCCGGCGAGGTGACCTACAGCGTGAATGGTTTCTTGGATAAGAACAACGATTTGCTGTTCCGTGATCTCAAGGAAACGCTGAGCAAGTCGGGCAACAACATTGTCCGCTCCTGTTTCCCAGAGTCCGAGCTGAGCAGCAAGAAGCGACCCGACACGGCCATCTCACAGTTCAAGTGCTCGTTGAACAATCTGATGGACATATTGATGTGCAAGGAGCCCAGCTATATACGTTGCATCAAGCCCAACGATCTGCAGTCGCCGGGCATCTTCGATGACCAGCTAGTGTTGCATCAGGTCAAGTATCTGGGCCTGATGGAGAATCTGCGCGTGCGTCGTGCTGGCTTTGCCTATAGGCGCAGCTACGAGCTGTTCCTGGAGCGCTACAAGTGTCTCAGCAAGTCCACGTGGCCCAACTACAAGGGCTCTAGTGGCGCCAAGGGTGGCGTCCAGCAGCTCGTCAAGGATCTGGGCTATAATAGTGACCAGTACAAGATGGGTGAGACAAAACTCTTCATACGCTGGCCACGCACACTCTTCGACACGGAGGACGCCTACCAGGCGAAAAAGCACGACGTCGCTGCCATCATTCAGGCCCATTGGAAGGGTCTGGTGCAGCGTCGCAAGTATTTGAAGCTGCGCGCCCAGGTGATCATTCTGCAGAGCTACTGCCGCCGGCGTCTGGCCCAGCAGGCCGCCAAGCAGCGTCGCGAGGCAGCGGACAAGATCCGCGCCTTCATCAAGGGCTTCATCACGCGCAACGATCCGCCCAATGGCTTCAACGATGACTTCATTGCCAACGCCAAGCGAATGTGGCTGCTGCGTCTGGCCAAAGAGCTACCCACCAAGGTGCTCGACAAGAGCTGGCCCCCAGCGCCTGGCCACTGCCAGGAGGCGTCAACCTATCTGCATCGGCTGCATCGCCTGCACCTAGCACGCATCTATCGCCAGAAGCTGACGCCGCAGCGCAAGCGCCAGTTCGAGCTAAAGGTTCTGGCCGAGAAGGTATTCAAGGGCAAGAAAAACAACTATGCCAACAGTGTGCCCGCCTGGTTCCAGAGCGATCGCATCAGCCAGGAGCACATACAGCGTGTGAGTGACTTCGTGGCCAG